AATCACAAACATCCCAAAAGGTGCAGAAGGTTTTCTGTCTTTCTTTTGTCATGAATACCTGTCTCTAAATAAATATTAAGTGTTGTGTGTTTTTCCTGTCTGCGAAGAGATTTGGGGATGTAAAATACAGCTAGCGCTTTCTCTGATCGTCAGTGACTATCGAGCTATCTTAGCCTGTAGTGTGATAATAGCTTACAGGGGTTGATGGAATGAAAGTATATCCGAGCCAGAATGGCTTAGAAACCACCAGCAGATCCAGGCTCTGGAAGCCCGTGATGTCAACAAAGCTGTCATGCAGACAGCTCCAGACATTCCCCCAACTTTTGGTGGATTTCTGGTGGCCTTTGGCACTTCCTGGAATGGAGATTCATTGTCCCAATTTCCGGCTTCATTGGCATATAATATTCTCTATGTATGTCTGTGTTCTCATTTCCCCTTTTATGCAGATACCAGCCATATGGAGTTCCAGTGCCACCTTACCTTAGTGTGGCTTCATCGTGACAAACGACATCTGCAGTGGCATTCTCAGGAGCAGAGGGGCTTCAACATATAACTTAGTGTGACTCATACATCACCCCATAGCAAATGATAAATGACCAACCTCCACAACAAAAGTATAGATGGAACTCAGATTTAACTTCTCCCAATTAATACCCCATCAAGGCGAGTTCCATGAGGAAGTTAGTAGTTTATGGGAGAAGAGCAGACAGACCTTCCCAGTGCTTCCTAGATCTGTGCCTTAGCGACCTGCACACTTCCATTTCAAAACATTTCTGCTGCATGCTTCCACCTAGTTTATGTTAAAACTGTGCATGAAGAGGCCATGTGGTATCACAGTCATTGGTGAGCCCAGCATTGCATGAATATGGGATATGATGAAATCATAAGACATTGGAATCTGTGGCTTTTCCAAGACACTAAACCTGAGAAGTGTGTTCTCTCTCTCTCTCTCTCTCTCTCTCTCTCTCTCTCTCTCTCTCTCTCTCTCTCTCTCTCTCTCCCCTCTCTCTCTCTCTCTCTCGATGGAAGAGTCATTAAGAACTTCCTGCTAGCATATAGAAATGTTTTTCCTGATATAACCAGCGCTGAAAGAGACTAGAGAAGAAAAGCCTTCTAATGTGACTCCCTGCCACTCGGTGTCACTTCTAACTATGTTGAATACTTATTGCAGGTACCTCTAGGTACCCTTATTTAGGGGAGCACCAATCCAATCCAGCATCCTTATTGGGGAGATGGGAGTGTAAGGTTTTCTTGAGGTCAAAGCCCCAACATTTGAGATCCCATTGTCAAGCAGTGGCAGGACTGACTGTAGGTCAGAAGGGAGGGGACATTTGCCAATGGACGACTGTCCTGTCAGCCCTGAGGGATGCTCCTGGCTTCTAGTACCTAGAGGCTAAGGATGTCACTAATACCCTCTCATGCACAGAGAAGTCTCCACCCCGTAGAAGGGTCCAACCCCACAATGGCAGCAGACCTGCCGTAGGGAAAAGCTGTTGGCCCTTGTTTGCTTGACTCTCTTCTAATGTATCAATTTTGAAAAGCTGCACCACAAAACATGGCTCGCTCCATAGAAGCATGGGGAGGTGTTCTCATCTGTAATCTCTTCTTTTGATCACATAATACTGAATTTTGCCTACTGTTCATCTTGAGTTCCTGGTTATAAGACAGGCCCGTTAAAAAAAAAAAATCAGCAAAAAAAAAAAAAGTGTCACAAGAAGGGACTTTCTAATTTCAGTTTAGCATTTTAAATAATTATATGTCCACTCCTGGATAAATAGCGTCTTTCCCTTTAGGGTTTTCTGATAAACTCTGGGCAGCCCGTAGCCATTGCTGACCCATGGCTTCCACTGGGAGAAGACCCACCATTTTGGATCTCTGCTGGCCTTTCTTCTGAAATCACAGATTGCCATCCTTACCTCATTACTACCTCCCAACTTGGTTCTCATGTGTCTCTGGATACCCAAGGGGAGACAGGAAGGATGAAAAGCAATGGTCTAGATCCAGCTGATGGAATCAATGAAACTGTGTGGATGTGGGTGCCCATGATGCTGCCCCCGGGCTCCCCCTAGATGCCTCTCCCTCCATTGTCTGGCTCCTCTCCTAGCATCCTTTGAGTCTATATCTGTTAAGTTCCCTCATTCTCTTCTTTGCATCCAGCTGATAATCTGCTACCTGGATGCTTAAGGTGGTACAGCTAGAAAGTTCTTCCCAACCAAATAGGCCCAACAGACAACTTAGCCATGGGACAGATAGCCTTGTTCCTGTCTTTTCCATACCAGTCAGTCCCCACATTGTCCCCAAGCCACAATGAACATGTTAAATGCTTAGTAATGTTACATGCAATGCATATATATTTATGTAACCCAGTATCATCCGTGACACATTGATGAGCATTGTCTATTTCTGTTGGTGGAACTCTGAGCACAGCATCTGCTAGGAAAATGTTCTACCACCGAGCCGTGCCCTCAGTTCAGGGTTTGTGAGACAAAGCCTTACTATGTATTCTAGGCTGGCTTTTAACTGGTGCTCTGCCTGTCTCAGCTGGGTATGTTAGGGTGACGAGGTATGTGTCATCATGCCAGGCAGACATGATGACAGATTTTTTTTTAATCACTGTATGTGCATGATTTGGGGAACATGGGTGCCTCTGTGCACTTCTGGTGGTAAAGTACAACTTTGTGGAGTAGATTCTCCTCTTTATCTTTATGTGAGTTCTACGTGTGTGGCAAACGCCTTTCCCTGACGAGTCATCTCCCCCTCTGTACGCTGTCTGGTGGCTGTTTGGATGTCATCAGTCTTACTGTTTGACCTTGAGAATCCTGGGACCTATCTTCTCCCTTCCATATTTCTGGAGCCCAATTTAATACTTGTCATAGAATAGGTGATCGGTCAACACCAAAGCATCTTTGTGGTGTAGAGGCGATTTGGGGTAAAGGTTTTGCATGCTCCTATCTTGTTTGGTGTCATTTGATGTTTGCTTGAAGGCTTTGTGGTTTTTCTCTCCCCTTCCTTCCTTCCTTCCTTCCTTCCTTCCTTCCTTCCTTCCTTCCTTCCTTCCTTCCTTCCTCCCTCCCTTTCCATCCTACCTCCCTCCGTCCCTCTGTCCTTTTCTTTCAGTGCTCCTGCTAAGCTGCATACCTGTTAGGTGAATGACATATACTGAGCTGTACCCCAAACCTTTGTGATCAATTTCTTTAAGAAAATTCCTTCCTGCAGAGAGATGTGTGGCCTCTGATAGGTGTGCTAATTGGGGCATTGGTTTGCAGTGTGGTTAAACTATATACAGGTTGGTAAAAGTATACACATGCAAACCTCAGGCCTCTGTATGGCTAGCCATCATCATTCCCCAGTCCCTGGGCACTGGCAGGGACAGGGCACCCGGCAAGGAAGCCTGGAACACTCTGGTTTTTCAGGTAAGCTCATTGACTCTGAGACATAGATCAGATAGACAGTTGAGTTCTACTTCAGAATAAGCCCCAGCTCTTCAGCTACAGCCCAATTCCTGTATGGTGACCCATCATATACTATCTTGAGTGTTTTGCAAGTATTGATTGGAGCCTCAAGACAGCTATAAACGTAGGAAATACTTTGGGGAACATTTATGATGGGTGAGGAAAAGGAAGCACAGAGATGCTGAAGTGTTTACCTCCAGCTTCCAGACGTCACCAGTGGAATTCAGATTCCTAGTACAGCCAGACACTGTGAGTTTCTCATTTTCGCAAAGACTCTGATAGGTGTGGTGCCATAAGCCTGTAATCCCATGCTTGGGATGCTAAAGCAGGATGACCATGAGCTCAAGGCCAGCCTGGACTAAATAGTTACAACTTGTTGAAACAAAACCAAGGATGAGTAAGCTTGAGAGCCATGGGAGGCTTCATCTACCTTGACCCCGACTCTTGACTCCACTGGACGCATTGGGTTCCAGTGTGGAGACTCTCCAGTTGGGCACAATCTATACCTGGAGAAATGTTTGCAAGGTCACTTGGGTCTAGGGAACCTGGTAGGCTGACAGGTAGCAGAAGGGCTTTGGCGCACTCATTTAGACACCAACTCAGGGACGTGGGACCTACCTGTGTCCTCAGCCTCACCATATATAGACATTAAGTTAGAATTTGCCAATCAGCAAATCAAGCCACTTGAAAAACAAACCAGGGACCTAGGCCGGCGGTTCCCCCTCTTTGATGAAAACGAAGCACACAGCATCCTGAAATGTCAGCCTGTCTGTCATTGGGAAAGCTTGCAACATAGAAAAGGCAATCACACAGATGGCTTTATAAAAGCATGAGAATTTGCCTGGCCGAACCTTTTAAAATTAATACTGGGAGTTAACTGAATAACTACTCATACCTCAGAGAGCTAGGCTTGGGTATCTTGGCTCAGGCAGATGTGGCAGTGGCCTGCTAGGGGGCCTTGGCAGCTGTTGGGGGCTTTGCTGATCAGAGGTGGGTTCTGTCTATGATAGCATAGGTTCCTGTAGCATCCCTAAAAGTTTCAAGTTAGCAGAAGGGTCTCTACTGCTAAGGATGTGTTCAGACCATGTCGTGTTTTCACTTACCCTATGTAGTGAACAAGCCTCTTAGGGATTTGTGTGTGTGTGTGTGTGTGTGTGTGTGTGTGTGTGTGTGTGTGTGTGTGTGTGTGTGTGTTGCTTAGGATCACACTCTTTAAATATACCTCCCTGGTTTTCTGTGATCTCATTTTTCCTTAAAATGTCACTGGAAAGTGTTTTCAAGTTGGATGTTTTATTTTCCATTTAAACGTGGTGAAACCCAGACACGGGGGCTCTGTCTTGGCACCAGGCTGGTAGACCTGGACCTCGGGTGCCTTCTGTGGTTCATGGCCTTTAGGGGACTGGGAGCAGCCTGCAGCCACAGTGACATCACAAGCCTGCCCAAGGACTCCAGCCTCTGTCTAGATGCTGGATACAGACTCTATCTTCACTGGGTATCTCTAGGGACACAGATGTGTCTTGAAAAGAGAAAATGCCATGGTCTTTAAACTTTTGCTGTTTTCAATTTTTATTATTTTTATTCATCCTTTGCACAGAATTTTGGGCTCTGTCTTTACACCCAAGTTCAAGGCTGTTGAAGGAAGTTCTAGTCAGAGGAACAAAGTCAGGCCACAGTTTGTGACTGTGGATGGAGACAGGCAGGAAAAAGCTGAGAGATGCATAGGCCACAAGAAGCAGCAAATTCAGCGTGATAGGAGGGAGGGCTCTACTATTATGGAGGATGTCTGCATGCTGCTGGCCGTGGAATGTGGTACACTCCTGGTGTTCCTCCTGGCTGTTGGTAAAGTGCTGGGCTGAGCTCTAGATGTTTGTGCCTGTGAGTTCACGTGAGGTCAACTGCCCACTCTGCAAGCATCTAGGTCTCCATAGAGAGGACACAGACAACCTATCCCCATTGTCTTCAGCTCTTACCAAATGCAGGGCACATTGACGTTGAAGATCCAGAAATGGCTGCAAAGTCAGGCAGCTTTTCTTGGTTTGTAGGACACGGACTAGGCTTCGCTGGTTAAGTATCAGAGGGACGTGACAGAGAGGGTCCTAAAAGTTTGGGGAGCAAGGATTAATTAAGGTGCTTATAGGGTATAGCTTTCTAAAGTTCTTCCATTGTGACCTCGTTGTACCTAAGAAATTGTGTGTAATCCTTGGCACCTAGGTATATAAACCAAATGTTTATTGACAATAAATCATACAGAGATTTATTTTTTAAATTCTTTGATATACATATAATTTTACCATTTATTTATTTGTTTGTTTTTGTTTTTGAGACAGGGTTTCTCTGTGTAACAGCCCTGGCTGTCCTGCAACTCATTCTGTAGATCCTCCTGTCTCCTGAGTGCTGGGATTACAGGTGTGTGCCACCATGTCAGACAATTTTACCACTTATTAAAGGATAAAACAAATTTTCATACTAATAAAATGGATTGCTTGTTTATGTTTACTCAAAGAAGTAAGCCTTGGCTGAATATTTAATGCTGCAGGGTATAGAATATCTTCAATGTCTTTTAGAGTTGATGGGTGTTTTGAGTTTATAGCTGTAAGCCCTGAGATTGCTGTGTCATGTAAATTCATAGTGCAAGATATCAGAAGTCTGTTTAGGGCCATTTAAAAACCGTTGGATGTTCTGACCTCCTTTTAAGTCAATACTCATTAAACACTTGTCTTTCTTTAATGAAGCTCCAACAGGGCTTTTTAAAATCAAACATTTTAGCATCGTATAATCCAAAGATGTACTAATTTGCTACTTACATGCCGAGGAATGATAACAGGAAAATACTTTTTTTTCCCCACTACCAGACCATTATGTTTCTACTAGAGAAGAAAACTTTGCAGGTAGAGTAAAAACACTGCATAGTTCAGTGTATGACATCCAGCAGGCTTGAATCTGAGCCAAGGTGTTTCGGGCAGCGCTTGCCGGTGTTATGTGGTGTGATGGCACCCGCTGGACAGCTGTGTGATGCAACAGGGAGACTGCTATCAGGAACATCTCACGTCCACTCCACAAGTGGTCCTTTGAATTCATTCATGGTCATTTCATGTTCAGAGATCTTTGATTGCTAACCATTCTTTTGCAACCCCTGTGTCCAGTCACATGACCCTGCGTGCCCATAGTTCTAAACAAGGCTAGAGAGAGCAGAGGAGTCACCAGGTGCAGGTGGTCTGTGGTCCATGCTAGAGAATGTGGTCTATGTCTGAAGGGCAGCAGGAGACCATGACAACTGCTGAGCAGGGCTTAGCAGATCTGATTGATAGCTTAGACTGGGAAGACTGTGCAGAAAGTTCTGGGCCAGGCCAGGTAAAAGTCAGAGAGCCCCAGTGAGAGATGACTGCAGTAGCGATGGGTCACCTACTCCTCAGCATTGGAAATGAGGATTTGAGCATTGTCTCTCACCCCCATACCAGCCAAGTAACGTTGACAAGCTTAAAGTGCTTCTGTGGCTAACACACTTGGACTCTCATCTGCCCATGTTCATCCTAAAAGGGCCAGTTTCAGGTACTTTATACAGTGGTAGGTAAAAAATAAATTAACAAACAAACAGACAAACAGGAAACAGCAAAACTGTTTGTAGTCTAAGATCTCACAGTTGCATAAACAAAAAAATACAAATTAAAATGAAAGCAGCAAGTATGGCCATTTGAGTTTAGCTAAAGTATAGCAAAGAACATGGGAGGCTATGCTGCTTGAGTAGAAAGGAATACCATGGAGGGCCTCCCTGAAGAGTGTCTGGGAATGGAGACTTTGGATATTAAACTATTTCAGACTAAGGAAATGGCAAACTCAGTGGTACTAGGGTATGAAAGGGCTTGGGGGTTTTCTGGCAGAAAATTAGAGCTAGTAAATGAAAGGGCGATGAGCAAGCCAAGACATGGCACAAGAAGAGTAGAGAGGGTGGGATATGTGGCCCAGTTAGTAGAGTACTCCCCTAGTATATGTGTGAAGACATGAATTTGATTCCCAATACTGCACACATTGGGGTTGGTGGCACACGCCTGTGAACCCAGCACTGTGGATGTAAAGCTACAAGGACTGAGAGGTCAGAGTCATTCTTGACTATGTAGTTAGTGAGTTTGAGGCTTGTCTGGGCTACATGAAAGCCTGTCAGAAATGGAAGGGGGCAAATAGGAGGAAGGGAGAGGAAGAAATGAGTGAATTGTTAGTGGAATAGGATAATACTTGCAAAGGGCTGAGGCATGGTAAACACTCAGTAAGTGAGGTTGACAAGGGCTTGTGCTGTTGGGATGGCCTTGGGAACATAAGAGAAGATTCGTTATGAGAATGGGCAGAAGTCGCCAGACATGGTCAGGAGATTAACTTGAAGAGGATTTCCCCTTTGTCAAGAGGTAGATTGTGTGATGAGTTTGGGTGTGGTGAACTTGAGATTATGACAATCACCTCCTCTGCAAACAACTGACAAAACGAGGTTTAGAAAGAAGACTAGGAGCAGGAGTTCAGGGCATTCCCCGAGGACAGGGAGCAGAGACAAGTCCCACCTTGTGGTGGAGGGGGCAGAGCTTCAGAATTGGGATCTGATGGGGGAAGTGCTTCTGTGTGTTTGTCTTACTGGATGATAAATAAAATACTGTTTGGCCAATGAGGCAGCAAGTTAGGCAGGACTAAGAGTCAAAGAGGATTCTGGGAAATGTAGTAGAGAAGTGGTGTTCCAGGCAGGAAGTGACATAGCAAGGAGACTCATATTTAAGAAAAGAGAAACAAGAAATGTCCCTTTTTCCCTTCGCCTCCTCCTGAGGCAGGATGTGAGCCATCCCCAAGAGAGGGCGCCATCGAAAGGCATCCTCTATGAGATAAGTCTTATAAAATGTATAGATTTATGATAATTAAGACTGAGCTAACAAATGATAATCCTGGTCATGGGCCAAGCAGCTTTGTATCTAATATGTCTCTGTATTATTTTGTCCATCCACATGGCGGGCAGAACTCAGGGGGCTGACGGAGACTGCCCATGTGGCGGTGGGGCTCGGCAGCTTTGGTGGAAAGATTTATCGTAATAGGGATCCCAAGAGAACTCTCTTCATCACCCCCTGTATGGCCCTCAGTGACCTGTAGAGTTGGCAGGAGGAGTCAAGACCTTGGCTCTACACCTCAGACCTATCGTTTGTGTGTTTGTGTAGGTAGCAGGCCTCTCATTCTTCCTTGGCAGGGTCTAGGCAGCTGTCCTGGGAGTGTGTTCTTTGCTGCCAGTCAGGGCTATGTGATAGACACAGGGAAGTATGTTTGTTGTAGGTTCTGAACCGAAACACAGGTATCACCAGGACCTTTTGTCATGGCACAGGAATTTGGAAAATGCCACAGAGCAGGTTGGTTCTTCCTGTGGGGTGTCCGCTAGGCTAGAATTCTCAGTCATTCAAGCCAACACAGACTGATTCACTAGAGACGGCTGCCTCTACAGTCATAACTGCCTCTGAGATGTCAGGTGGCATCTGCCACCAGGTCAGGTGACTCCTTTTCTCTCTCTGGGCCATGCCACAGGCCCAACAGTAGGGAGCTCTTGCCATAACTCATCTCAGACCCAAACCTGAACTCCAATCTGTTTCTGATTTTCATCAATCTTGCAACATCTATTTTATATTTTTTAAAAAGGTGCATTCACTGTTTTATTTCCAGTTTAGAACAGCACATGATTTTTATTATTCTTTAAAGCCATTATAGGATTTAGTTTTCTTCACAAAGCAGTGTTCATTCACTTTAGACACAAAGAAATGAGAAAAGTCACCTGTCAGTTTAATACCCAGAGACAAACATGGGGACCTATTGCTTTCTCTTTCAACATTTTAATAATTTGTGTATTTCTGAAGTATTTGTAGCAATAGAAGCAGATAGCGCTCACTGATTACTTACTATGGGCTAGTAGATATGCAAAGACATTGAATATATTTAATTACTACAATAAAAAGCACGATCCTATTAATTACTACAATAGAGAAACAAGCATTATCCTACCTCACATCTCCAAATAGAAGGTAACAATTATGGGTCCTGGGGCTGTAGCTTAGTAGTAGAGCTCTTGCCTGGTATGCATGAGGCCCTAGGTTCAATCCCTAGTTCTGCCAGGAAGAAAAAGAAAAACAATAGAATGAAGAGTTATGGTTGTGGAGAGCTTACGGGGGCAGGCATGGCTAACATCTATGCCCCTGTGCTTTCATTAAGAAAATGATGCCTAGAAGATGTCTACAGGGACTCGGTTATCTAGTGGTCAAGTAGCGTTTTACCCCTGAGCTCTCGGCCTCCGGGACTCATGCCCTGTGTGACAAGAGTGATGAGCTGATAACAGGTGCAGCTTCTCCCGTGTCCTCACTGCCTTTCTCTGGTCCTTGTGCACCCGGCTGCCCTCCACTCACACCCTGAAATGACAGACAACACTTTAGAATGGAACTGTGTCTCTGAGTGGCCCCCCTCCCTCCCTCTTCCTAAGATCCCTCAATCTTGTTGGTTCTAAGCAGTTGTTGTTATCTCTTTTCAAAAGAGTACATGCTTGCCTCTGTTGTTGTGGAACTAGAGTTGTCTTAAGATTTTGCTAGAAACTAGAATGATTGTAATCTGGCTGACACTACCTTTGTATATTCTTGTCTTCCTTTTCCCTGCTCCTCAATGGCCCAAGCACACGAAAGAACATTTTGCACTGCTGTAACTCAGACACACACGCTCACAAGTACACCACAGTACCAATCAATGCATATTTTAGGTATGTGATATTGGCCATATACAGTAAACCCAAAGTGGAATGCTTTGCTACCATGCCATTGTGAAGAGAAAATTGCCATCTCCCCACGCAGACCTGGAAAGTTGTCTTAGGGTTTCTGATGCTGTAAAGAGACGCCATGACCAAGGCAACTCTTGTAAAGGAAAAACATTTCATTGGTGTGGCTTACATTTTCAGAGGTTTATTTCATTATGATCATGGTGGGATATGATGGCATGCAGGCACGCATGGTGCTGGAGAAGGAGCTGAGAGTTCTACATCTTATTCCACAGGCAACAGGAAAGAAACTGTCTACCACATTGAGCGTAGCTTGAGCAAATGGAGACCTCAAAGCCCACCCTCACAGAGACGCAGTTTCTCCAACAAGGCCACACCTACTCCAACAAAGCCCCCAAAGTGTCACTCTCTTTGGGGGCCATTTTCTTTCAAACCACCACAAGAGGCATCCTGTTCTTTCAGCCAAGTGGTTGGCTAAAGGCACATGGAACTAGTTTAATGGGTAGACTTGTGGGCATTAAAGGGAGAGAAAATCGCCTCAGCCCGTGCATACACTACAACTTTAGTTTTCTAACAGTCTCCCACAGACAGTCTAATAGAGTGTGGGTGTGAATTCTTTCTCATTGACCAGCGCCTTGTCTTTGAAGCTCTTGACGTGTTCTCAGACCTGGGTTGACTAAAGAGTTTGACTAGGAAATTATCTTCCCTAAGACGGACCCCCAGAAACACACACACACATAGCACACTAATGCTTGTTTTTGTAAGGTGAAGGATAATCATCCCTTGGGCTCAACATGCCTGTGCATCTGGGTACCAGTGATCTAGCTATCTGATGAGGCAAGGACTCAGGTACCAGCTCCTACTAATGCCCTATCATGTGTAGAGAAATGTATATGTGTGTTCTCCAAGTAGACTTTCCAGAGTTGATTAAAATAAATAGGAGGGAGATGGCCCTCTGGGAAGGTCAGTTCATTTGCTGACCTTGGGCTGTATTGATATATATGAGCCCTTTATTTGGGATGCCCCAGCTTTTCTTCCCTGTGAGAAAGCCTGTGTCTTTCTATCCATCTCTTGTATCACTGCTTCCCTCCTGATTGCTGCTCTGTTTGAGTGCGCTGGACTGGGCAGGTCGTGGGAAAGATCTCTAGGCAGCTGGCTTGTCTGAAAGCCAGGCCTGGCCAGTAGGGAGGGCGGGCAAGAGAGGAGTCCTTTCTACCCTCCCTCAGTAGGAAAATAAAAGAGATAAATGAACCCTAATCCTGACCCAGGGGCGAATCCCAATAAAGATCCAGGTTAATTCTTCCTGCTGATCCAACCCTCGAATTCATTGTGAGAATTAGAGAGTTCTGAACACTAATTTGCCACATCAGATTGTATAATTATCTTTTATAGGCCCTCGTGTGATGTATGCTGGGTGTTTGTGCTCCAGGGGCTGAGTGTCTGCCTGTGTTTGGACTTCGGAAGTCCTTCCTGCCAGACTTGAGCATCGCACGTACAGGTGGGGGTAGGAGCTACCGTGGTCTGTGTCGTGTGGTCAGACAGACCCAGCAGTGTTCGAAGCCCATCTTCTGAGGGGATACTTTCTCATGATAAAACAGGGGAGTTTTAAGTGGAACGATAGGGGGGAAGGTGAACCCCATGCAAGGCTGTGGTACGGGCCAGGTGCCTGGCTGGAGTTGGCATCTTCCAGAAGGTCCCTGTGTGAAGCAACAATGGGACATTCAACAGTGGGTCTCTCCAAAGTTTGGGGTTTGGAGACTGCCACAAAGCGGATCATTTCAGGATCAAATTGTGGTTCTTATGCTTATGATTTCATGGTTCCCTTGCACCATAAAAACATTAAAAGGAAACCTTTATGGCTGTGATGGTATAAGGATGATGATTAGTGCCCAGGCCGGATCCGTTAGATAATTTCCTAACCTCGACATTACTGTGACTATCATTACTATGACTGTCACTTGCTCTGCTTTTGAAAGACATGAGAACATCTCTGTGGGCCCGTAAAACTAACTGCAACATGGTGGATGTGTTGACCTTGGGGGAGGTTCTGGAAATGGGACCCTGTGCTGTGGCCTCCAGAGAGCTTCTTGGTCTATTTTGTAGAAGTCACTCCAATGGGATATTTCTTATTTATTGTAATAAAAAAATCACATTCATGTGATACGTGGTTCAGGCATATGAAGGGATCATGCTGCAAGGGCAGATCTGGTCAGGTGTGTGCTGCCAGTTGGCTCCTTCTGAAGGTGTTTCAGTCAGCCTGTCCGTTGTCCTCCACAGTAAAGGGAGAAAAGGGCCATGCTGCCAGGCTAGATCTGTGCAAAGCCCAGCAAAGCTCCCAGGACACATTCCAGCTAGTGTGCCAGGGGCAGACTTAATATCCCTAGGGAGTCAAGCTCTTTCGGGGAGGTTCAGGTGGCCATGCCACTTGAGAGAACAGAGTGAAACAAATGTTCAGTGGAATGCAGAGATCTCTTGAGATACGCACCTGCCTAGAAACCAGCCTCTTGGGCTGTAAGCCCAAACTTCCTGCATACCTAGTACTCCACAGTAGCCAGAAGGGGATCTGTGGCTGGAGAGAGACTGTGGGTGGCTTGCCTGAGTTCATGGGGGTGTGGGAGAATGTAAGAGGGGTGTCACCAAGCTTCAAGCTACTTACTCATTATGTATAGAGGACTCCCAGCCTTGGGTTTCCCTGGGAACACATGAAAAATGCAGATTCTAGGCTATGGATCTTGTCCAGTGGGTTAAGTACTTGTCAGACAAACACGAGGACTTGAATTTCAATTCCCAGAACTTTTATAGAAGCCAGTGCAAACCTCTGAAATCCCAGCATCTAGTGAGTGGAGAATTCTTAAGAGCTCATGGGTCAGCCAGCCTGGTGTCCATAGCAGGTGAGCAGTGAGAGACCCTGTCTCAGACAAGGTGCAAGGTGAGCACCCATGCTTGAAGTTGTACTTCAGCCTCTGTAAGCATGCCTTGGCTTCCACATCATGACGCATGCGCACCTGTACTCACAGACACAGACACAGACACACACATCACACACACACACACACACACACACACACACACCACACACACATCACACACACACACACACACACACACACACAGGCACACACACACACACACACACACGCACACACACCACACACACCACACACACACACACACACACCCACACACATATATATATATATATATAGAGAGAGAGAGAGAGAGAGAGAGAAAGAGAGAGAGAGAGAATTTTAAATGTAGATTTCTCAGGTTACCACCTAGACACCATGAATTCACTGTTAGCCACATCTCCAGCAGATCCTCAGAGACTAAGGGCATCTTAGGAGGCTTCCTCCTGGTGCCCGGGCCCCATTGGAGACCAGTTAGGACCACTGGCATGGGAATGGATATAGAAACCTAGGGGAAGGAGAAGGGGCTGGTCCCAGAATCCTTCACTCCCCTCTTCATGACACTCCCCAAGTCTTGTCACTTCAAGAAGACCCCAGCTCTCTGTATTCTCCCCACCCCCCCATTAAATTGGCTGAAGTGAGACTTCATGGGGCAATGTGAGGACTAACTATTGCCTCGTGTTAAAATTAATTCAGCTTTCTACCAGAAGGAGGGAAAAAGCTAAAACCGTCTCCATTCATCTGGGGTCTAGCTTGAATGAGTTTAGGGGGTGTGATCCACCCAGTAATAAATTGAGAATAGGTGGGTGTGGGGCCACTTAGCAGAAAGCAGGAGTGAGAATCTGTTTGCTGTCTGGGAATGAGTTTTCTATTTCTGTCAGTCGGCCAGTGAGGTTGGAGATATAACACAGTTCTTCTGAACGCAAGTCAGTTTGTTTTGCCCCACAATCAGAAACCTACTGCAGGAGGCTAGGATGATAGCTCAGGTGCAAGCCTGGGGATCTGAGTTCAATCCCCAGCACTACCACCCATGTACAAAATATTTGTAAACCCAGTGCTGGGAAGGAGATTCCATAAGGCTCACTGTTCAGCAGCTCCAGTTACGGGGTCCCAAGTCCCAAATCCCAGTGAGAGCCCCTGTCACCTGGTGAATGACACCCGAGTTTGATCTCTGCCTCTACACACATACATACACATGGGCAGCCCCTGGAACTTAAATATGCAGAGACCATATTGCATTGGAGGCCTGAGGCTGGTCCTTGGGTAAGTTCATGGACATGATAGTGGGGTGCGGGCCCTGTAAACATGTCACTGGAGAGGCACTGTGGTGCAAGAGGTCCCTTCTCCCATCTGACCTAACCGCTGGTGGGGTCTGGCTGCAGAGGACCAGCGCTGCACTGACTTCAGGAACTCAGGGACCCCAGAGTGATGGTGTGTGATTGTGTGCTCAGCCACCCAAACAATCCTTTCTCTTGTGTGTGAAGGTTACCAGTTTCCCGTTTCAAGTCTGATTGTATTCTCTTCCTCTCTTGTCTGTCTTCTCTCTGTTTTCATTTGCCAACCTAAGGGGCTAGAGTCATTTTTTTGAGCCTAATGATGGGGAGGCTTAGAATGGGGCTATTATCTTTAAACACCGTTTGAAATACTACTCTTCCTGGCGTCTGAATTAGATTGAACAGAGGCCGGATTTAAAGATTAAATATCTGTTTTAACAGCAACAACAACAGCAACTCCACTGATACCTGCACATTTGTTCAGGAATTACCTGCACTAACTCACACCCCAGAAACCCACAAGGGAATGCATACTGCATAGTAGTTAGAGGTATGTAACTGGTGTTTATTGGAATGTGGTGGAGGCCAGGGGTGGAACCTGATGATACAAGTGTACTGCCCTGTTGAATGAGTTCAGACAGTAAGTTAACATACAGAAATAACAGAATAGGAGTCTGTGTAAAAGGACCAATGGAGGACTAGGAAGCTGGCTCCTTTGGTAAAATGTTTGCCTTGAAAGCATGGGAACCTGAGTTCAATTCCCCATATCTGCATAAGGAAAAAAATGAAGGTGAGAGTTGTGAGTAGTGGAGGGGTTACTGCATACAGCAGGAGCACGCGCACACATAGAAACACACACATGTGCACCTGCACATAGCATAAGTATGCACACATGAGTGGATACACATGAGCACACACATGAGCACACACATGAAAGTTCCCACTCAAAACAGAATAGCTCAATATACAACCATCCATTATTTTGCTATCAATGTCTGTTGTTAATAACTTGAAAAATAAGATCAGCATCCATTGTCATACTGTTTGTATTTAGTTAATTCCAGGTTTGGGTTTTATCTTTTAAAAGCCATATTTCTTTGAAAGTAGGTTTGGATTTGTCATGACCCCAAGTGAGTGGATTTCTTCTGCAGTGTAGTTTCACTGCATATTAAACAATGATTGCAGCTAGCTGTCAGTCAGAAGAAGTGGCTCATGCTTATACATCAGCACTTTGGAAGCTGAGGCAAAAGGTGTGTGAGTTCAAGGCCAGTCTGGGCTACAGAGAGAAAGCCTGTTTCATGAATGAATGGAAATGGCAACCCTTAAGCCTCTGTGTCCCTAAAAGACCTGGCGTTTAGGGTCAACCCCCACCAATGGCAAGTCTGATGATGGTGTGTTCAGTATTGCTCTACTTCCAGATTTAACCTTCCCCTTATTGTTCTAGGTAAAACCAGAGGTTTCTGCTGACATGGAACATGGACAAGAGAATGGTGAGTTGTGAGTAGATGTCTCAGTGTACCTGTGTTTCTTCTGTTTTATTTTTCTTGTTGTTGCTGTTTTCTGAGGTGGACTCCTGTTTTTTGTACGCCCTCTGGTATAGACACATCCCTAACACTCTGCGTGCCTATCTAGAGCACAGGCAGGTGCCTTGCTGTTTGCTATGGGAGTGTAAATACAGCAAGCAGTTAATGCAAGCAAGGCTGTGCTCCGTGCTCTCCTGATTGTCACTCAGGTTAATATAATTGTGCACACCCCCGTGGCTCTAGCAGATATGTTACAGTATGACCAAAGACAAGACAAAGACATTGAGGTATAGTCACATGCTTAAGATGGCGTGGGTCATTTGGGAAACAGCCAAAACTCAAAGCCAAGTCCATATCTTTGCTGTTCTGTATTGCCTTTTTGCATGATGGAGGGACCCCTCCCCCAACAAGTTCTTGCTGCCTGTCAGAATTCACTACAGGGACAGTCTTGTTGTGCACAGGGAGAATCACCAGGCAGGTGACCCCCAACCTGTACACACAGGGGATAGGTGGCAGGTGGACCACACCTGCTGCCCTTCAGGAGTGCAGAGACTACCCGTATTAAACAGGATCTCAGAGCTTTCTGGAAAACTGCCAACCGGGTCTGGTCCTAATAATGCTGGCTGTAGAACAGATGCCTCTCCCTTTATCCAAGGGCCCATAACTGTCTAGATTCCTCCATCCAATGTGGTTACAGCACTTCTGGCCATAAATCTTAGTGGTAGGTCCTGAGTGGGAAGCTCAGACTATGGACAGGTTTGCCTAGAGCCACCAGATCATCCCAGTGTCTCCTACAGAGCGTGGGAATGGAGCTGGAACCCGACAGGTCACAAGAGGAGGACAGCGTGGTACTTTTCCTAGTTCCTGGGACAGATGCATCATTTGACAAGTGGCAGTGCTTTTTCTTGTTTTAATCTTGGCGGTTATGGATCTGATTGAAGATGAATTCCTCTGTAAGATGGTGATGCTAAAGGTCTTGTTCTTTGGGAGACCAGGAATCGAATGAAAACCAAACCAAGGTCTACTAGTGTGCACAGTCTTGACAGTCCTGGCAGAGAGTTCATCTCCCAGCCTTCTCCTCCCTACTCCCAGTCACCCCTCTGGTGTTAGCTTTTGGGGAACCAGCTGGGGTACCCATGATATGCTCTAATCTAGGGACTCCAGTCTTTTTGCATAGTGTTTGCGTCTTCCCAAGCCTCTTTCTTAAACCTAATATTCCATGGGTCACTTGATGCCTTTAAGAAACCCATCGTGACTATCCATTTGTTGTCCCGGTATCCTTGTCTCCTTGTCATCATCTCATGTCCCATCAGTTAAGAGTCCCCTGCTTCCCATCTTACCCACAAGACAAGATTCTTCCTGCTCTCTGTGTCTCCACATCCTTCCCTTCTGCACCGTGACCATCACATTCATGTGTGCCCGTAAGCACACATGTCCCATAAGGCTGGCTTCTCCTTCACCTGGCCCTTCAGGATGTCATCTGCAAGGCCGCTTCTGAATCCCCTCAGGGCTCTAGGCAGTAGGTGTGGAAGGGCATCTTGTCCCTGAATCTATGCATTCCAACTCCTCCTATCGTCAGTTTTCATCTGAAAATCCAAGGAGCGCAGAGAAGGTACCCGAGTGACAGTGAGCTCCCTCATGGGAGCGTGACCTCGTACTCAATGACTGTTGTTGAAAGATTGTTTTAGCTGCTGTCTGGGCTTGGTCACTAGAGGACTATGTGCATATTGGGGTCAGGAATAGTTAATAAGTGTCTTGAGGGGATTTCCAGGCAAACCATGGGTACCGCCACCCATCTGAAAACAAGTCTTACCCTTTATCAGCCCTTAGGCTTCCTCCTCAACCCAAAGGCCAGAATATCCCATAGGATGTAGCTTTTCCCCCCATACCTAAATGGCAGTGGTTCCTTTCTTTGTTCATTCATTCTGCAGCTATACATTGATGTCTGCCATCCCTGAGATTAATAGGGTGAGTGTAGGTGATATGTAGTAAAAACAAAGTTTTCAAACAACTAAAGAGGATACAAACAGCTGATGGTATTGCAGACGAATATGGAGCCGGGAAACCCAGCCCAGCGCAGCTGGAGGGAGGGGTGAGCACAGGTTATAGCTTTCATTAGAGGGAGATGGAGACCTGAAGGAGGGACGGAGGACACCCTGCATGCTTTTGTGAAGACTCTTTGGGACAGAGGGAATGGTCGCATTAGCGGATCAAAGCAGGAGCATGGAAGCTCAGGGTGGACTTGCGAAGCAGAGCAGATAGATGTGTGAGCATCTCAGTGAGGGCTGATGCGCAAGAGAACCAGGCCAGGGAGAGCCTGGAGGCCCTAGACCCTGCTGTTGAGAGAGCGCAGCAGCGCTGGTGCGGTGTGCTAGGGTCTGACTCTCCCTCCTAAGGTCCTTTCTCAGGGGCTGGTATCGAAGCCCAGAAGAGCAGGTGGCTGGGAGGAGAGGGTCTAAACTGTGTGTGTGTTTGAGAGAGGGGGGAGGGAGGGAGGGTGAGAGAGAGAGAGAGAGACAGAGACAGAGGCAGAGAGACATAATGTGCCCATCTCCCTCCTACCCTGTCATATACAGAATGGTAGTGATGATGGCAATGGTCCAGAAAGCCCTGGTCACATCTCAGGAGCTTCCATAACTGCTGAATTTAGATTCGCCTCTGGCATTGGGCTCTGGGCTTAATGTCATCCCCAATACACACACCCTGCAGGCCTACTGGCAAAGGAAATGGGAACATGGGTAAGAGGAGAGTGGCCAAATGCCTATGTTTTCTTGTTCTGCATATCTTCGGGCATGGGTAGGTGCTAGGGGCATTCAAGGGACACCTAGAAGTTTCACCATCAGGCCTTGGAGCAGCTAACAGTGCTGAGGGTGCTCCTGTGTGGGCTCCTCCCATCTCTGAGGGCTGCCCTGGTCTTGCAGCTCCCCAGTCTTTCTCTCACCTGACTTTTCCCTCTGAGAACGAGCTGCGCTAATTGACAGCTGTAGAAATTATGGGGTCAGCCATCATGCTACAACAGCCATCAAGGAGAGACGGGCTCAGAGTGCCTCGCTCAAGTTAACCCTGGATACAGAGGGTCTTCCCGAGAATGTATCCCTGTGCCTCCAGCCTTGGCTGTTGTTAGCAACTGTGTGATGGAAATTGAGCCTGTAAGACATTGAAGTCTGGTGTCTATCTAGGGAGAACTAGGTGCGTATCTGGGTAAAGCCTTGGAAATGGGTGCTCTGTTGATAGTGTTTGGAGAAGGAGGGAAGAATCTTGGCCCCTGTGTTCCTACCAAGGCCAAGGCCAGGTGTGTTTCTGGGCAACTCCTGGGGACAGCTTCCCACCCAGTGCCTTGCCCTGCTGCCTCAGTAATCTTACAGGATTAGAGGGCTGGCTCTGCCTACTTCCTTTCAAAGAGCTGTGACATCATTGCCTTCTAGCCCCCAAGGCTCCTCCTGTGTGGTGTCAGAGGGAGGAAGGACTGTTGTAACTGATGAAAAATCTGACACCCTGGGAGGACATGCCCTTTCCTCAACTCCATCCATCATGTGTGCTTTGGGGGGGGTGGGGGGGGCGCTGCCACTCAGATGACAACTTCCACTAGGCAGGGAGTTGAGAGGGGAAAGCTGGGAGCCCAAGCCGGCATCATTAGTTGCAGGGGTGAGCTCAGCCTGGGACTAGTGTCATCCCAGGGGTTTGTAGCTGGAACTTCCCTATGGGATCCAACTGTGAGTCACTGTGGTTGGTGTCCCTGCACCGAACTTCTTCTCTAGGTCTCCCACTGTCCCCTGGGACATCATGGTCACAGGTCAGGGCTAGTGACTCACTGGCTACCTCAGCCAACTCCAGGGGTGGAGTCTTCTATTCTCTCACCTCCTGGCATGTGGACCCTCCTTGGTGTGATGGCCACAATTAGGCTGGCTGCTGTCTCAGAAGCTATGTGCAAAATGTGTGGGCCAGCAGAAGGCCCTGTCACCCTGGGGTGGCCAAGCAGAAGCCGCAGCAGTGGCAGATGTGTTCCAGAGGCTATGTGGGAAGTTCAGGGTGCTCTGTGGGACAGCCAGCTGCAGCCACTGGGGTGAGCTTCCCGGGGACACCTGGGAGATGGGGAAGTAACTCAGAGCCCTGGAATACAGTGGGTTTTACGCAAAAGCCCACACAAGGCTGCCATGGGAGGGCGACACGATGGTGTGGTGCACAGACCGGTCATCACCTCTCTCGGGCTTGAGTCTCAGCTCTGGGCAAAGGAATCATTCCATGTGTTCTCACTGTCAGCCCACAGCTGCCTGGACCCGTCTGTCCCACAAACTAGACAGCACAAGGTGGGGGCGGCTATAGGAGAAGAGAGAAAGCAGGTCCCTTACTTAACATGTTGGAGGGTGTGTGGTGGCGGTAGAAATGGCCGTCGTCTTTTGTTTTCGTTTTCTCCCTCTTAGC